ACAAGAGTGAAACTCCGTCTCAAAAAAAAAAAAAAAAAAAAAAGTTGTCTTTTGGTATTTATTGACTTCAGTGGCACTGAAAATGAGCAAAAACCAAATGTAGTAAGTATAAATATCAAATAATATACTTTGGCTCAAAAAAACAGTTTATGTGGGCAAAATACTGATCTGAAGATGGGACAATAGGATAGGGCTGCCAGAAAATCTGATGCAGTCTCAGGTTACATAATTGAAGTACAGTGTCCAGAATAAGGGAGGTAATTGTCTTGTTCTACTCCAAGCTGGTAAGAGCCTTACTCTATTAAACAGACAAACTCTAGAATAGAACTAAAATATCATTTATTCCTGCTGAGAACACAGTAGGGACTCTAGAAATCAAAAAATAGCTGTAATTTCTCAGAAAAAGAGGTATTGGTTGCTACTCTAATGCTCTACTTCATGGTGCCATCTCTCTGCTTCTACTGAGGCAATAGTGTGTTTGAAAGCACAGGGCTGTTGATTTTGCCTGCAATGTAACCTCCATTCCTCAATTTCCTTTGCTGTAAAGTGGAAACAATAGAACTTTCCTCGTAGAGTTTTTAAAAGATTAAGCAAGTTAGTCGATGTAAAATTACCTAGTTCCTGGCACCAGTAAGTGCCTCCTAAGTGTTACCTTGTACTAGTGTTACTAGTCCTGTTGCTCCTCTGCTCTTCTAGCTCTTGTCTACTACTTCTCACATCCTTATGTGTATTAGTCTGTTTTCTGTTGCTTATAACAGAATACCTGAAGCTGGGCAATTTATAAAGAAAATAATTTTTTTGGCCGGGCGTGGTGGCTTACGCCTGTTATTCTAGCACTTTGGGAGGCCGAGGTGGGTGGATCACCTGAGGTTAGGAGTTCAAGACCAGCCTGGCCATCATGGTGAAACCCCATCTTTTAAAAAAAAAAAAAAAAAAAGAAAAATTTTTTAACAGCTATGGAGGCTGAGCACTCCAGGTGGAGGGGCTGCATCTGGTCAGAGCCTTCCTGCTGGTGAGGGCTTTCAAGAATCCCACTGTGCTGCAAGCTATCACGACAAAGGGGCTGAGCATGGAGGACTTGGGTCTCTATTCCTGTTTTAAAGCTACCAGTTGCCCTCCTATGATAGATAACTCATTAATCCATGAGTAGTGAGTTAATCTATTCATGAGCACAGAACCCTCCCTCATGTTTTTTTGGTTTGTTTGTTTGTTTGTTTGTTTTAGACGGTTTTGCTCCATCGCCCAGGTGGGAGTGCAGTGGCACAATCACAGCTCACTGCAGTCTCTTCCAGGCTCAAGAAATCCTCCCACCTCAGCCCCTACCCTGAGTAGCTAGGACTACAGGCACACCCCCCACTACACCCAGCTAAGTTTTGCATTTTTTGTAGAGATAGAATTTCAGCATGTTGCCCAGGCTGGTCTTGAAGTCCTGGCCTCAAGTGATCCATCCGTCTCAGCCTCCCAAAGTGCTGGGATTACAGATATGAGCCAGCATGCTGGCCTTCAGTCACCTTTTATAAAGCCCCACTTCTCAATTCTGCCAGATTGGGGATTAAATTTCAACTTCAGTTTTGGAGGGTGTAAGTATACAAATCATAGCATTTTGGCTTTATCAAAGATGTCCCTTTGTCATCAGCATCAAAACTCTTCCTTTGAGTCATTTCCATTGGCATATAAATTTGTTGTAATGTCTCTGGTCTTCTTTAAAAAAATTTGTTCTTTGATCACACATCCTCCTCCTCCACACTATTTCTACTTCCTCTCCTTCCATTCTCTCTTAAACCCATTCAAATCAGACTCTCATCACGCCACTCTACTGAAATGGCGCTTGTTGATATCCCCAACAAATGGGTTCCACATGGCCAAGCCCAGTGGTCAGTTCCCAGGCCTTATCTTGCTTGGCTTGTCAGCAGTATTTGACCCATCTGATCATTCTGTCCTTCAAACACTTGCTTCGCTTGGCTTTCAGGACACCACACTCAGCTCTTCAGCTCTGCTGTGTCCCTGAACGTTTTCTTTTCTTTTTTTTTTTTTTTTTTTTTCATGTCAGATGGGAAATGTACTGATGTCATAACAAGATTCAAGGGTGGCATATCTCACACATGCATGTGAACACCCAATCATCACATTTAGGAACTACAAAAGGATCTGACCACTGCTTTTCACTCTCATCTTCACCTCCTAACATTGTTGAGCTCCAGAGGTCAATCATCACATCTCCTCTCAAAACCCAATGAGTTTGATCCCAGCCAATCTCATTGCTTTAAATACCATCTGTTGAAGACCCAGATGTGCATCTCCAGCCATAACTTCTGCCTTAACTCTAGGTTCTTCTTTTTTTTTTTTTTTTTTTGAGACACAATCTTGCTCCATCGCCAGGCACCAGGCTGGAGTGCAGTGGCGCAATTTCGGTTTACTGCAACCTCCACCTCCTGGGTTCAAGCAATTCTCCTGCCTCAGCCTCCTGAGTAGCTAGTACTACAGGCACACGCCACCACACCCAGCTAATTTTTGTATTTTTAGTAGAGACACGGTTTTCACTATGTTGGCCAGGATGGTCTCGATCTCTTGATCTTGTGATCTGCCCGCCTTGGCCTCCCAAAGTGTTGGGATTACAGGCGTGAGCCACTGTGACTGGCCAAACTAGTTTCTTCCTATCCAACTGCCTACTTGTCAGCCTCACCTGGCTGTCCTAATAGACATCATTTTTTTTTTTTTTTTTTTTTTTTTTTTTTGAGACAGAGTCTCACTCATCACCTAGGCTGGAATGCAGTGGCACAATCTCAGCTCACTGCAACCTCCACCTCCTGGGTTCAAGCAATTCTCCTGCCTCAGCCTCTCAGGTAGCTGGGATTACAGGTCCACACCATTACGCCCAGCTAATTTTTGTATTTTTAGTAGAGAGGGGGTTTCGCCGTGTTGGCCAGACTGGTCTTGAACTCCTGACCTCAGTTGATCCACCTGCATTGGCCTCCCAAAGTGCTGGGATAACAGGTGTGAGCCATTGTACCCAGACTGTTTTTCTTAATTTCTATACCACTCTCTTTCCTGGATCTCTTTTAAATTCCCTGAGAGGACCGAATAGGTTGTTCCATTCCCATTTAGCAGGAAGCAGCCCTGTGGGAGATGGGCTGTCAGGCCACGTCACCTAGGGGGTTCCAGCCGCAGTTTATGATTTAATCCTCTGATGTGTCTCCCACTAGATTCCACTATCACTGGCTTCACTGATACCAATGAGTGTGGGTCTGTTTTGTAAAAATGACTTTAATTTGGATCCTTTAGAAATTTACTCAAAATTACAGTGAAAATGAAGGCAACAGAAAATATTTTCAAACTGAAACAGCCATCAGCTATTGTGGATACTGTCGAGAGGAAAAACAACCAATGCCAGTCAGCATCTGGTAAAGGAGGTTCTCTAGCTTGGCCCAATGCCTTTGTTTTCTTGGCAAGAGGCTGTCTCCCATTTTTCGGGCAACCTTCTCATCTTTTCTCATCTCTTCTTTTTTTTTTTTTTGAGACGGAGTTTCTCGCTGTTGTTACCCAGGCTGGAGTGCAATGGCGCGATCTCAGCTCACCGCAACCTCCGCCTCCTGGGTTCGGGCAATTCTCCTGCCTCAGCCTCCTGAGTAGCTGGGATTACAGGCATGCGCCACCATGCCCAGCTAATTTTTGTATTTTTAGTAGAGACGGGGTTTCACCATGTTGACCAGGATGGTCTCGATCTCTCGACCTCGTGATCCACCCGCCTCGGCTTCCCAAAGTGCTGGGATTACAGGCTTGAGCCACCACGCCCGGCCTCATCTCTTCTTTTAATAGACCACAAGAGGGCAGTGTTTTATCATATTCTCCTTGAATGATATAATACCAACAGTGGGACGAGATGACTTCCAGAAGTAGAAATTGACTATTATGCCAAAATTGTTCACCAAAGTTGATAAAACTCTAGGTTTACAATTGTGCCCCAAAAGTCATGGGACTGGACCCCATCGGTTTAGCATAAGTCATCAGTTTAGCAATGATAAAGAAAATAACCTTCTGAAAGTTTGAATAGATCAGAAATGAAGTACTTTTTGTGGAAGGCTGTTTTTAAGTATTAAAGGTACTATTTCCTTTCTTGAATTCACATTGCAGATGTGCATTGTGGATTTATGGGTTTATCTCCGCAAACCTTAAAGTAGAAGAATCCAAGGGCCAGGTGTGGTGGCTCATGCCTATAATCCCAGCACTTTGGGAGGCTGAGGCAGGCGGATCACCTGAGATCAGGAGTTCGAGACCAGCCTGGCCAATATGGTGAAACCCTGAATCTACTAAAAATACAAAAATTAGCCAGGTGTGGTGGTAGGTGCCTGTGATCCCAGATTCTAGGGAGGCTGAGGCAGGAGAATCGCTGGAACCTGGGAGGCAGAGGTTGCAGTGAGCCAAGATCACACCACTGCACTCCAGCCTGGGCAACAGAGCAAGACTGTTTCAAATATATATACACATATATGTTTTTTTAAAATAAAAAAAAGTAGAAGATTGCAGTAAAGAAGAGATTTATTAGCTCTTCCTTTCAAGGTATCTATATGTACTGTATACAAACAATGAAAGTTGAAGAGTGATATTCATATTAGGCATATTAGTCACTGAATTGTAATCAAAAGCAAGAAATATCATAAACAAGTGTTAGATTACTAACTGCCAAACAAGTTAAGTCCCTTATGGCAGATAGATTGTCTTTTCTTTCTCTGAGCAATTCCTTTCTGCCATAAACTCCAGAGAGGTGATGAATAGAAATAGAACATTGAAGAGTTGAATGATACCTAGCCAGACTTTGCCCTAAAACTTTAGCCCTAAAAAGAGAATTAAATTGTGTAGATACCTTTAAAGAATATTTTGTAGCTTCTTTCTACATCTTTCCCTAAGTGGCCTCGAGCCAAGTCAGATTTTGGTTATATGCCATGATAGTAATTGTAACAATCAGTGACATTTAATAATAAAATGATCCAAAAATGCATGAATACAGTAGATTCCCTCTCCTATTTATTCATTGTGGAAAAAAAAAAGAAACAAAACGCAAATCTTAAAAACTAAAGTGAGTCGGAAGCTTGGAAAGATACCCAGATCTGATAACACGTTATGAGGAAATCCAGTCTTATGGATCTTATTTTCTGGCTTTGATCTGGTTGTCAGTTGGTATGGACTTGCCCAAGTGATGGCCCACAGAAAGGCCAAATTTCTTGTTTTTCTCCTCATTCTGCACCTCTTTTTTCATTAAGAATCCTGCCTGGAAGTTTAGATCAAAGAGGCTGCTTGGAGCAAAATACAGTGGTGTCTCATCCCAAATATTCTCCAGGCGTTTCTTCCATCCTTCCAGGATCTGAATTCGAGTGTCTGCTGGAGTGTGCCCAATGCTGTATGTCAGCTGAGGTTCTAAGACTTGGAAGCCACAGAAATGCAGAATGCCACTCTGGGGATACGGAAAGCACAGAGAGGTAAGTCAACAAATTCCATGCAGTTGTACTATAAACAACAGAAGCTGGTCTGGGCTGCCCTGTAAGACATTCTGATAGGGAGGCCTCAGGCACCCTAGTGAATCATTTCAGAGCCACTGTCTCTGTCCTACCCTCTACCTAGCTGTTACCAACTTTAGCCTTTTCATCTGTGCTCTTCTTAAAATGCATAAACCCTTGAAACTGTGCCAACCTGAATCCTTTGCCAAGAAAGCTGGAAGTTCTATTACTTTAGGGAGTCTCAGTTTCTTGGCAGGTGACTCTTGCCAACGCATGTGTGTGCATTTCTCTGCCTCGCCACATAACCAGATGAGTTTTGCTTTTTTTTTTTTTTTTTTTTTTTGAGACAGAGTCTCACTTACAGGGTGGAGTGCTGTGGCATGATCTCGGCTCACTGCACCTTCCACCACCCAGGTTCAGGCGATTCTCATGCCTCAGCCTCCTGAGTAGCTGGGACTACAGGCATGTGACACCATGCCCAGCTAATTTTTGTAATTCCAGTAGAGACAGAGTTTCACCATGCTGGCCAGCCTGGTCTCCCAAAGTGCAGGGATTACAGGCCCAGATGAGTCTTGATAAATGATTTTCATACACGGCCACTCATGGGCTCTTCTCTCCAACCACCCTCTTCACAGAAATTATCCTGAGGGTCTGGTGACACCAATAAGCCCACCCCAGGCTTCAGTTTTATCCATGTCTAAACAGGCTGGACTAAATCATTTCTGTTTTCTTTGAAACAGGGTCTCGCTCTGTATCCCAGGCTGGAATGCAGTGGTGTTATCATAGCTCACTGCAGCCTCAAACTTCTGGGTCTCTCACCTTAGCCTCCCAAGTAGCTGGGAACACAGGTGTGTACCATTACACCCAGCTAATTTTTTTTTTTTTTTTTTTTTTTTTGTAGAGATGAGGTTTCACTACATTGCCCAGGCTGGTCTCAAACTCCTGGGCTCAAGCGATCCTTCTGACTCAGCCTCTCAATAAATCATTTCTTAAATTGTCTTGGGCTCTAATAGTCTATGGGACTGTATCAGCAACTTGGAGAAGGACAGGAAGGCTGGAGGGAGATACGAGCCATCTGGCGAGACCAGGGCCCATGGCTGTACAAATCGAGGGTAGAAATCCACACTCATCCTTGGCTGGGAGAGAATGCTGTTTTCACATGCACACACGTGGGTGTTTTCTACATGCATAGGCACCCAGGAAGGCAGGCAAACTGCTGAAGGAAGCTCCCGTAGTTCTGAATCATGATGATGCTTCCATCTTCACAACTCAAGATCTGTTTTTAGCTGCTATCTTGATGCTTTGAACCCCACAGAAGGCTCAATTAATGAATTCCCCTGAAGGTTCACTGAAAATAAGGTACCTGGTTGGGCGCAGTGGCTCGCCCCTGTAATCCCAGCACTTTGGGAGGCTGAGGCGGGAGGATCATTTGAGATCAGGAGTTTGAGACCAGCCTGACCAACGTGGTGAAACCCTGTCTCTACTAAAAATATAAAAATTGGCCAGTTGCGGTGGCTCAAGCCTGTAATCCCAGCACTTTGGGAGGCTGAGGCGGGTGGATCACGAGGTCAAGAGATTGAGACCAACCTGGTCAACATTGTGAAACCCCGTCTCTACTAAAAATACAAAAAAATAGCTGGACATGGTGGCGCGTGCCTGTAATCCCAGCTACTCAGGAGGCTGAGGCAGGAGAATTGCCTGAACCCAGGAGGCAGAGGTTGCGGTGAGCCGAGATCGCGCCATTGCACTCCAGCCTGGGTAACAAGAGCGAAACTCCGTCTCAAAAAAAAAATACATATATATATATAAATTAGCCAAGCATGGCAAAAGGTCCCAGTAATCGCAGCTAATTGGTAGGCTGACGCAGGGAATTGCTTTAACCCAGCAGGCGGAGGTGGCAGTGAGCCAAGATGGTGCCACTGTACTCCAGCCTGGGCAACAGAACGACTCCATCTCAAAGAAAAAAAAAGAAAGAAAAGAAAATGAGGTACCTGAATTGGCCAGAGAATGACATTCATGTCCCCATGGACCCCTTGCAGAGAGTACATGGAGCCGCTGCCACCAGTGGTGATGGAAAGCACTGCCTTCTTATTCTGCAAAAGAAAAAAACAACACACTTCATTCCCCTCACATCCCCTTGGTGACAAGAAGTTAATGAAATAGCTCCAGGGAAAAGAACACACAAGTCCCTCCTATTTGCTGTTTATATTACTTCATACTTTGGCTCCTCGGAGCTGCACAGTATGACTCTGCAGAAGTATCAGCCTAGACGGTCTATAGACAGGCAGCCTGGGGCAAACCAAGGATTTCAAACCCCCACGTGTGGCTCAGGGCAAAGGCTGTCCCCACATCCAAAATGAGTGCTGGCTGTGCTGCCTAGATGGAGTGATTGATGGTTCTTATCCATCCTCCCACGTGCTAGGCGTGGCGTAGGACAAGCTCTTTCTTTCTTTCTTTTTTTTTTTTTTTTTGAGACAGAGTCTTGATTTGGCATCAGGCGCCAGGCTGGAGTGCAGTAGCCCAATCTCGGCTCACAGCAATCTCTGCCTCCTGGGTTCAAGCATATCTGCCTCAGCCTCCCGAATAGCTGGGACTACAGGTGTGCCACCACACCCAGCTAATTTTTTTTTTTTTTTTTTTTGAGACGGAGTTTCGCTCTTGTTACCCGAGGCTGGAGTGCAATGGCGCGATCTCGGCTCACCGCAACCTCCGCCTCCTGGGTTCAGGCAATTCTCCTGCCTCAGCCTCCTGAGTAGCTGGGATTACAGGCACACGCCACCATGCCCAGCTAATTTTTAGTATTTTTAGTAGAGATGGGGCTTCACCATGTTGACCGGGATGGTCTCGATCTCTTGACCTTGTGATCCACCCGCCTCGGCCTCCCAAAGTGCTGGGATTACAGGCTTGAGCCACCGCGCCTGGCCTTTTTTTTTTTTTTTTTTTTTTTTTTTTTTTTAAGTAGAGACAGGGTTTCACCATGTTGGCCAGGATGGTCTCGATCTCTTGACCTCGTGATCCGCCTGCCTCAGCCTCCCAAAGTGCTGGGATTACAGGCGTGAGCCACTACATACGGCCAAGCTCTTTCATCTGGAAGGTCTCAAGGTGTTCCCCGTGCAGGATTTGGGTTTCCAAAAAATAAGACAGACCTTCTTTGGTTTTGATTATGGAAATTTTTCACGCACATAAATGAGGAAACAGTGCTGCATCTACACCACTGATTTCAACTCTCAGTATCTTGCCATTCTAGTTTTAGCTTTACCTGTGATCCCCTTTTTCTCTGGAGCACTTTATTTTCTTTTTCTTTCTTTTTTTTTTTTTTTTTTTTCTGAGATGCAGTCTGGCTCTGCCGCCCAGACAGGAGTGCAGTGGCGTGATCTCCGCTCACTGCAACCTTCCTCCCGGTTCAAGCGATTCTCCTGCCTCAGCCTCCCAAGTAGTTGTGATTACAGGCGCCCACCACCAGGCCCGGCTATTTTCTTTTCTTTTTTTGTGACGGAATCTTGCTCTGTTCCCCAGGCTGGAGTGCAGTGGTATGATCTCAGCTCACTGCAACCTCCACCTCTCAAGTTCAAGCTGGGATTTCAGGCACACGCCATCACGCCCAGCAAATTTTTTGGATTTTTTTTTTTGGGGTGGGGGCGGAGTTTCGCTCTTGTTACCCAGGCTGGAGTGCAATGGTGCGATCTCCGCTCACTGCAACTTGCGCCTCCTGGGCTCAGGCAATTCTCCTGCCTCAGCCTCCTGAGTAGCTGGGATTACAGGCACGCGCCACCATGCCCAGCTAGTTTTTTGTATTTTTAGTAGAGACGGGGTTTCACCATGTTGACCAGGATGGTCTCGATCTCTCGACCTCATGATCCACTCGCCTCGGCCTCCCAAAGTGCTGGGATTACAGGCTTAAGCCACCGTGCCCGGCCAATTTTTTGGACTTTTAGTAGAGACAGGGTTTCACCATGTTAGCCAGGACTGTCTCCATTCTCCTGACCTCATGATCCGCCTGCTTTGGCCTCCCAAAGTGCTAGGATTACAGGCGTGAGCCACCGCACCTGGCCTAATTTTTGTATTTTTAGTAGAGATGGGTTTTCACCATGTTGGCCAGGCTGGTCTCAAACTCCTAACCTCAGATGATCTGCCCACCTCAGTCTCCCAAAGTGCTGGGATTACAGGCATGAGCCACCACACCTGGCCTTTTATTTTCTTTTTTAAGACAGAGTATCATTCTGTTGCCCAGGCTGAGTGCAGTGGTGCAATCTCAGCTCACTGTAACCTCTGCCTTCTGGGTTTCAAGCAATTCTCCTGCCTCAGCCTCCCGAGTAGCTGGGGTTATAGGCACCCACCACCATGCCCAGCTAATTTTTGTATTTTTAGTACAGACTGGGTTTCGACACGTTAGCCAGGCTGACCTCAAGTGATCTGCCTGCCTCGGCCTCCCAAATTGCTGAGATTACAGGTGTGAGTCACCACGCCCAGCCTCTGGAGCATTTTAAAACAAATCCCAAACATCATGTCATTCCATCTGTGAAAACTTGATCATGCATCTCTCCCAAAGGGCCCAGAGCCTCGGCTTAGGATCTAATTGTGCTCAAAACCCTGCATCAGGACAGACTCCACCCAGAAGCCAGTCAGAGCATTCCAAACTGTCCACCTACCTGGAAGGGTCCTTTGTCGTACATGGCAGCATATGTGTAAGCAAACTCTCCTACAAACACTCGCTCAAACCAGCCTTTCAGAATGGCAGGGACTCCAAACCACTGCAGGGGGAACTGCGGGACAGAAGACATCATCGAGGTCAGACCAGAGGCTCCCCCAGCCCAGAAGGCAGCCAGGGTGCTGAGCTGCTGTCCATTATGGCAATGAGGGGAGCCCCTCAGCCTTTCCCATTCCTCCTGGAGGTGTTAGCACTTTAAGGAAAGAGATCATTTTTTCCTTGGTCAGCCAACTTGACAGTCTTCTTGCGGCCTGAAAATGCAAATATCGAGTGGGCCCCAAGCAAAGCTACATACACAGATGACTTGTTTATATGGAATTCGTTTGTATGAAGTCACATTTGGCAGCAAAGTCTAAATAGCAAGGATTGCAAACAAGGTTTGCCTCAGGGTGTGATGCCTCAATCAGTATTTTCCCAAGAGTTTGCTTTAGTAGGTGTGGTATCAACAATGTGACTGTTGGCTGGGCACAGTGGCTCATGCCTGTAATCCCAGCACTTTGGGAGGCTGAGGCAGGGAGATCACCTGAGGTCAGGAGTTTGAGACCAGCCTGGCAAACATGGTGAAACCCCATCTTTACTAAAAATACAAAAATTAGCTGAGTATGGTGGCATGTGCCTGTAGTCCCTGCTACTTGGGGGTCTCAGACAGGAGAATCACTTAAATCCAGGAAGCAAAGGTTGCAGTGAGCCTAGATCACACAATTGCTCTCCAGCCTGGGCAACAACAGAGCAAGACTCTGCCTCAAAAATTAAATCAATAAATAAAATTTCAAAAATAAAAATAATAAATAATAATTAGTGTGACTAAGGTTTATCAGGGACTTTCCATGAGAAAGTCTTGTCTGACCTCTTACCCTAATAAAAGCAGAATAAGGACTATCCCAGGAGTTCTTATCCTTGATTCACAGTATTAAGATATGACAGGCACACGTCTATAATCCTAGCACTTTGGGAGTCTGAGGAAGGCGGATCACTTGAGCCCAAGAGTTTGACACCAGCCTGGGCAGCATGGTGGGACCCCATCTGTACAAAAAATTAAAAAAAAATTAACAGGGCATGGTGGTATGCGCCGATAGTCCCAGCTATTTGGGAGACTGAGGTGGGAGGATCACTTGAGCCCAGGAGGTTGAGGCAGCAGTGGGCAGAGATCAGGCCACTACACTCCAGCCTAACTGAACATGAGAACTTGTGTCCAATTTTTTAAAAAAAATATTTGTTAAAGGCATCCTTTGGGGTACTGGCTAGTGGCATGTGGCTTTGAAGATTCATGTGATTCATAGCAACAGGCCCGAGGGTAGAAGAAAGGATTTCAAGGATTGGATGCTTTGTAGCTGATTGAATAAGAACAACAGTAAGAAAAAAACACAGCCTGTACCACCCTCCTCGTGGTTTCCAGCATCATATACATTCTATGTTCAATATCAAAAGACTGGCTGGAATGAGCAAAAGCAAAGTCATTGAGTACAGTCACATTTATGGGAAAGATCACTGACGAGATGCCCACACAATCCCAGCATTGTCTGCTAAACGGTAAGGCAGCTTCCCAAAGAAGAAAGGCCATGGATTGCTGCAGAAACGCATTCAGCAGGGTTTCAAAGCCCCCTTCAGCTGGCAGGCTGCCATGGCAGGGAAGTCAACGTCTCATGCATCATTCTATAAGGTATTTGAGATTCTTATGGAGAAAGGAGGAAAACAGCAAATGTTGAGAGAGTCCTCCAGGAATCTCTAACTGAAGGGGAGGTGAGGTATGTGCGACAAAGCAACTTCAAGGGTGGAACATCATCTCTGCAGCTGCATTTCTGTATGTAACAGTAATAAAACCAGATTCCCAATATCTGTGAAATCTGTATAATACTGCACCTTTCAAGTAATCGCCCTTATTTGTAAAGAATGCAGTCAAGTGGGTGACTGTTCTAAGATCCCATAGCTAATCAGGTGACAGGTGTAGGACAATAAGCAGGCAAGTGTCCCTGACGCCCCTTCTGATGTCCCCTCCATACCTGGAATATCACAAGGTCTGCGTTTTCCAGCTTCTTTTGTTCAGCCACAATATCCTGGCTCAGACGGCCTTCTTTATAAGCCAGAGTAGATTCAGCAGCATACTGAAAGTTCTCAGGGTCCTTCAGTTTACCTGCAGAGAAGAAAAAGAGAGGCTGGGGCCAGCGAGGCCAAGGCTGGGCCAGAGGACCCACAGGCAAGGAGATCCACAAAGAACTGATTAAAGAGGGGAGGAGGACCTCCTACCTGTGAAGTCCTTTCTGGAAATGATGGGATTGAAGTTCATGGCGTAGAGGTCCGACTCGGCCACCTCCCATCCTTTCTTCTTCAAAGCCACTGCAGCAGCCTCCTTCATGGCATAGTTGAAGGACGTCCTCTCTGAGTGAGCCAGGACGATCAGTGCTTTTCTGCCTACCGAGACACACACAAAGCACACGGGAAAACCCATTACCAACCAGCAAACCTTCAGCTACAGGGGAGCTGCAGTCTGTAAAGGAAGGGGCAGCTTTGTTAAACATTAGGTTATTGCAATCCATCCTCTGCTGCCAGAAATGTATTTTCCCCTTAAAAGTGCCAAAGATTGGCCGGGCGCGGTGGCTCAAGCCTGTAATCCCAGCACTTTGGGAGGCCGAGGCGGGTGGATCACAAGGTCAAGAGATCGAGACCATCCTGGTCAACATGGTGAAACCCCGTCTCTACTAAAAATACTAAAAAGTAGCTGGGCATGGTGGCACGTGCCTGTAATCCCAGCTACTCAGTATGCTGAGGCAGGAGAATTGCCTGAACCTAGGAGGCGGAGGTTGCGGTGAGCCGAGATCGCGCCATTGCACTCCAACCTGGACAACAAGAGCAAAACTCCATCTCAAAAAAAAAAAAAAAAAAAAAAAGTGCGAAAGATTAAAGGAAGCATTTAAATCAGTGACTGATTTAATAAACAGTGTTGACGGCTGAGCGCCACGTCTCACGCCTGTAATCCCAACACTTTGGGAGGTCAAGGTGAGCGGATCACCTGAGGTCAGGAGTTCAAGACCAGCCTGGGCAACATGGCGAAACCCTATCTCTACAAAAAAAATACAAAAAACTAGCTGGGTACGGCGACTTATGCCTGTAATCCCAGTTATTGGGGAGGCTGAAGTGGGAGGACTGCTTGAGCCTGGGAGTTCGAGGCTGCAGTGAGCTATGATTGAACCACTGAGTGACAGAGCGAGAACCTGTTTCTAAAAAATGAACTGTGCAGTTTTTAGAGTGTTTATTGTAGTCACCAAAAAAGTTTTTGGTTTTAATTACTCCATTAACACATCACATGCAGTCATAATTTCCAGTAGATTAAAGATCAAATTTTTTTAATGAAACTATTTAAATAATAAAGAAGGAACAGTAGAATTTGTATAACCTCAGAGTACAGAGTCCTTTATAAAAAAAAAAAAAAATTCGACCAGGCATGGTGGCTCCTGCCTGTAATCCCAGCACTTTGGGAGGCTGAGGTGGGCAGATCACAAGGTCAAAAGATCAAGACCATCCAGGCCAACATAGTGACCCTATCTCTACTAAAAATACAAAAACCAGCCGAGCATGGTGGTGCACACCTGTAATTCCAGCTACTTGGAGGCCGAGGCAGGAGAATTGCTTGAACCTGGGAAATAGAGGTTGCAGTGAGCCAAGATTGTGCCATTGCACTCCAGCCTGGGCGACAAGAGCAAGACTTCGTCTCAAAAAGAAAAAAATTGTTTAGCAATAAGCACCATAAACAAAGTCAAAAGATACCCACTGGGAGAAGAAATTTGCACATCTCATCACAGAGTTAGTTACATTCCCAGTGAGTGCCCACAAATAATTAGAAAAGAACAGATGGTGCAGTGGAAAGTGGGTCAAGGACCTGCACACACTGTTCACAGAGCAGGAAAGGCGAATGGCAACGAAAAAATGGAACGAAGCTCTTCGTGGCCTGTCAGGGAAAGCAAAATTAGAACAAGGTGTTTACCCATGAGATTGGCACCAAGAAATGTAAAACAAGTAACATCCAGGGCTATTAAGATTGTACTAACAGAAAAATTGGTGCATTACTGGTGGGAATATGAATTGGCTCAACCTTTAGGGAAAGTAATCAGGCAGAATCTCTTAAAACTTTAAAGACACGTAAATCTTTTATTTCTCTCTCCAATTTGGGGAAATCTGTTCTACAGACTAAAAGCATCAGGCTATAAGAGCAAGGATGTGTATTACACCATGCTTTTCACTGGCAAAAATTAGATATAACCTGATTGTCTATTTACGGGGAACATTTTAATAAATTATGGGTATATCCACACTACAGGATATTCTGCTGTTAACAAGAATGAGTTGACTTGGCGCGGTGGCTCACTCCTGTAATTCCAGCACTTTGAGAGGCCAAGGCGGCGGATCACCTGAGGTCGGGAATTCAAGACCAGCCTGGCCAACATGGTAAAACCCTGTCTCTACAAAAATACAAAAATTAGCCAGATGTGGTGGCAAGTGACTGTAGTCCCAACTACTTGGGAGGCCAAGGCAGGAGAATTGCTTGAAACCCAGAGGCGGAGGTTACAGTGAGCCAAGATCATGCCATTGCACTCCAAACTGGGCGACTGAGTAAGACCCTGTCTCAGAAAAATAAAATAAATAAAAATAAAAGTTAAAAAAAAAAAAAAAGAATAAGTTAACTGGCTGGGCACAGTGGCTTGAGCCTATAATCCAGCTACTTGGGAGGCTGAGGTGAGAAGAGCCGTTGAGGCCAGGAGTTGGAGACCAGCCTGGGCAATACAGTGACACTTTATCATTAAAAAAAAAATTTTAGAGACTGTTGACCAGGTACGGTTGCTCTCGCCTCTAATCCCAGCACTTTGGAAGGCCAAGCAGGAGGATTGCTTGAGCCCAGGAGTTCGAGACCACCTAGGCAACATGACAAAAGCAAAACCACTTTTCTACAAAAAAATACAAAATTAGCCTGTAGTCTCAACTACTCAGGAGGCTGAGAGATGGGAGGATCACTTGAACCCAGGAAGTTGGGGCTGCAGCGATCTGTGACTGCCACACTGCACTCCAGTCTGGGCGACAGAGCAAGACTCTATCTCAAATAAATTTTTAAAATTAAAAAAATTAAAATGAATTAACTATACACAGTGACTCAGAAAGATATCCATGATATATTATTAACAGATAAAAAACAAGTAAATATTAATCCATTTTTATTTAAAATGAAAGAAGTGAGAGGCAGGGAGAGAGGGAAGGGAAGGAAGAAAAACTACACAAAAAAAAAGAGAAAGAAAAAAAGAAACTACATATATATGTGTGTAGATAAGCAGTACATTGGTATGAGGGGGAGAAATATGTAGTGATCACGTTAGACTTTTTTTTTTTTTTTTGAGACACAGTCTTACTTTGTCGCCAAGGCTGGAGTGCTGTGGCACAATCTCAGCTCACTGCAACCTCCACCACCTAGGTTCAAGCGATTCTCCTGCCTCATCCTCCCCAGTAGCTGGGATTACAGGTGTGCACCACCACACTCGGCTAATTTTTGTATTTTTAGTAGAGATGAGGTTTTGCCATGTTGGCCAGGCTGGTCTCGAACTACGGACCTCAAGTGAGCCACTGGCCTTGGCCTCCCAGAGTCCTGGGATTACAGGTGTGAGCCATGGCACCCGGCTGATGACATTAAACTATTAACAGCTTCCTTTCTAAGTACGAAATGGCAAAGGGGTACAGGTAGAAGGGAAATGGGCCTCTTTGATATTAACGAGCTTGTCAGAGGCAGCATGCTTCAATTTGCAACAATACTATTTAGGTTCTACAATGTGCTAGGTGCTGCCCTAAGTGCTTTGCATTCTTTTTTTTTTCCTTTTTTTTTTTTAAGATGGAGTTTCGCTCTGTCACCCAGGCTTGAGCGCAATGTCAGGATCTCGGCCCACTGCAACCTCAGCCTCCCAGGCTCAAGTGATTCTCCTGCCTCAGCCTTCTGAGTAATTGGGATTACAGGAGCACACCACCATGCCCATCTAATTGTTTTGTATTTTAAGTAGAGACGGGGTTTCACCATGTTGGCCAGGCTGGTCTTGAACCGCTGACCTCAGGTGATCCACCCACCTCAGCCTTCCATAGTGCTGAGATTACAGGCATGAGCCACCGCGCCCTGCCTTTTTCTAAGACGGGGTCTCGATCTGCCTCTTAGGCTGGAATGCAGTGGCATGGTCTCAGGTCACTGAAGCCTCAACTCAGGCTCAAGCCGTCATCCTACCTCAGCCTCCATAGTAGCTGGGACTCCAGGTGTATGCTACCACGCCTATTTTTTTTTTCTTTTTACAGAGACAGGGTTTTGCCATGTCGCCCAGGCTGGTCTCAAACTCCTGGGCTCAAGCAATTTTGCCTGCCTCAGTCTCCCCAAGTGTTACATAGGTGTGAGCCACCACGCTCGGCCCTCACTTTCTTCCTTTGTCAGGACAACATGCTGTTTTAAATGTGCCCCTTCCAAAATTCAGGTGCTGCCAATGTGAGAGAATTAACAGTTGGGGCCTGTGAGAGGTAATTAGGCGAGGCGAGGCTCGTGATCCGGATTAATGGCCTCATAAAAGAAGCTTCACCCAGCACGGGGCTCACCTGCCCTTCCATTTTCCACCTTCTGCCTGATGCCGTCCATGTCAGGATACAGCATTCTTCCAAATGCAGCTCTCTCCAGACAACCACACCTTCCAGCACCTTGAACTTGGACTCCCAGCTTCCAGAACTGTGAGAAATCAATTTCTCTTTTTTATGAATTATCTAGTTCCAGTTATTCTGTTATAGCAGCAAGAAATAGACAAACCCTATGCGTTCAATACTGTGAGTAGCCCCATGTTATGGATGAGAAAACTGAGGCACAGGAAAGAAGCAAGTTACCCAAGTGAGTAGTCATTAAGTGGTGAAGCTGAAATGATGTGAAAATGTAGAGAGTGTCTGGGCGTGGTGGCTCACACCTATAATCCCAGCACTTTGGGAGGCCAAGGCAGGCAGATTGCTTGAGCCCAGGAGTTTGAGACCAGCCTGGCCAACATGGAGAAACCCCATTTCAACAACAGCAACAACAAAAATTAGCTGAGCGTGGCGGTGTGTGCCTGTAGTCCCCGCTACTCAGGAAGCTAAGGAGCAAGGATTGCTTGAGCCAGGGAGGTGGAGGTTGCAGTGAGCCATGATCACGCCACTACACTCCAGCCTGGGCGAAGGCGAGACTCCCTCAAAAAATAGAAAGATGGGGGTGGGGTGGGAGAGGGAGTGGAGGGAGAGAGGGAAAGAGAAATACAAGTAACAGCATGCAAGGGCATAAACCCCCACAGTTGCTCCTGATAATGTGCACTGCTACTCCATACCCTACCGTGAACCGTGGGTGGAGCTAGGAGAGAAGGCATCTGCAACTTTTTTGCACTATCGGAATAACTAAAAATAACTAAAATAACTAGAAAAGCACTTTGAAGCCTTAAACTCTCTTCCTGCTTTTATTATTGACCACACCTGGCAAGGGAGGCGCCTCTTGGGCTAACTTTGAGGGCCCGGTGTGCCACACCAGGGGATTTCCAAACTTCATCCTAGGGTTTTGGACTCTCAAAAGTAAAATTCAGTGGAATAGGTGTTGGATGATGATTTAAATGTGCTGGAAGTGATTGTCTGGCTTTGGATAGCCTGGGAAAAGGGAAAGGAAGTTCTAAGGCTGCCTCAACCAATTCCGCCGCCTCCTTAATTCATGGATTTAACATGATTGTGAGGCAATGAGCGCATGAAGCTCTAAGGTGTTTTCTTTGTGATTGACCTTGCCATTAGTCTTATCAGTGTGTACTCGACACCGCTCTGACCGTTTTTATTCTACTGACTTCTCATCAATGTTAACAGGTAGTAAAACAGTCAAGGCACTTCTCAGAAGATGAGCAAGTCAGGATATCTATCTCTAGCTCTTTGAAGGAGCTCACACTCTAATAGGTATAGGAATGCCTGTGACTTTAAAATTTTTCATGTAAGGCAACACACAAACAGGAATAATACATTTGCAACAAATACAACCACCAAAGTGTAGCACCTGTAATACACGGATTGCAAAAACAACTCGAAAGAATAATGGACAAAAGAAGGTTATGGGCTGGGCGTGGTGGCTCCTGCCTGTCATCTCAGTACTTTGGGAGGCCAAGATGGGCAAATCACCTAATGTCAGGAGTTCCAGACCAGCCTACTCAACATGGTGAAACCCCATCTCTACAAAATACAAAAAAATTAGCCAGGTGTGGTGGCAGGGCCTGTAATCCCAGCTACTTGGGAGGCTGAGGCAGGAGAACCTGGTTCACTTGAACCAGGGAGGTGGAGGGTGCAGTGAGCCGAAATCACACTGCTGCACTCCAGCCTGGGCAACAGAGCAAGACTGTCTCAAACAAACAAACAGAAAAACAGTTGTGAATAGGCAATGAACAGAAAGGAAGTTTTCTGGGCCTGGAAGGTTCATTTTCCCTTTCCGCCACTCGCCTAGCTGAACAACATGACCTGGGAGGAGTTAAAGCATTATCCTGAGAGGCCTCAGATGCATGCACAGATAACCTCCTCAGGGTACAATGGCATTAGTGTGCTAGGGAGAGGTAAGGGGAAAAGTTCAACAGAGGGCTGGGCGCGGCGGCTCACACCTGTAATCCCAGCACTTTGGGAGGCTGGTCTCAAACTCCTGACCCCAAGTGATCCACCCCAGGTGGTAAAAAACCGTCTCTGCTAAAAATACAAAAATTAGCTGGGCATGGTGGCGTGCACCTATAATCCTAGCTGCTGGGGAGACTGAGGCATGAGAATGGCTTGAACCTGGGAGGCAAAGATTGTAGTGAGCCCAGATCATGCCACTGCACTCCAGCCTGGGCAATGGAGTGAGACTCCATCTCAGAAGGAAACGTCAGGACTTGAGGGCTGGCTCATTAGGAAGGGTTCTGAGAGGAGCTTGCCATTTGAGCTGAATCTTGGTATTGAACTCTTGGCCTCAAGCACTCCTCCTGCTTCAGCCTCCAAAATGCCGGGATTACAGGCATGAGCCACCACGCCCAGCAAGAAAAAAAAAAAAAGTTGTTTAATTAGCTGGGTTTCAAGTTCTTCTGCTCTGACCAAAAAAATTAGCCGGGTGTGGTGGCACACACATGTAGTCCCAGCTACTCAAGAGGCAAAGATGGGACAATCACTTGAGCCCAGGAGGTCAACTGTAGTGAGCCCAGATCATGCCACTGCACTCCAGCCTGGGCAACAGAGCAAGACCCTGGCTCAAAAAGAAAAAAAGAAGTATGATAAGGCCAAGACTTAGTAGCAGTTTCATGCATTCTCCCTCTGCCTCCTCAGCTCACTTGAATCCTCCAGGGAATATAAGTGCAAGTCAGATGCGTCTATTAGTTGCAAAGAAAAAACCTGGATGTTTCAGTAAACCTCAAGATTTGGTTAGCTGTATACAGCTAAAATTAATTATACAAGATCCAAGTCTTCCCTTTTCCTTCTTTACCACCCGCTTTTTTGTGTTTAAGCTACACAGAAACACAGAACATTCTGTAAGATTGAAAAGTCAGGGCGGTGGCTGAAGCCTGTAATCCCAGCACTTTGGTAGGCCGAGGCAGGTGGATCACGAGGTCAAGAGATCGAGACCATCCTGGCCAACATGGTGAAACCCCGTCTCTACTAAAAATACAAAAAAATTAGCTGGACATGGTGGCGTGCGCCTGTAATCCCAGCTACTCAGGAGACTGAGGCAGGAGAATTGCCTGAACCCAGGAGGCGGAGGTTGCAGTGAGCCGAGATCGCGCCATTGCACTCCAGCCTAGGTAACAAGAGCGAAACCCCGTCTCAAAAAAAAAAAAAAAGAAAAAAAAAAAAAGTCAGGAGATAGTTCCTGCCCTAGTATTGGAGGAGAGGGTGCTGGTGCCTCAGAGCAGCTGAAGAATGAAATACAAGGGAAACAGCAGCCACCATGTATGCAGGAAGCCTCTCAGCTCTCAGAATCTATTCCCTGCTGTCTTCCCCAGCAACTTTTGCTGGGCTTCTCATCCCCAGGTTCCTCCCTTTCTCAGAGATCCTGACAATTTTAGTTTGTCAACTGCAAGGGCGATCTCTTCCCCCACTCACTTTGACCAAGATGAGTTTCTTGTCTGTGCAGATGCACTTTTTTTTTTTTTTTTTGAGATTGAGTCCTGCTGTGGCCAGGCTGGAGTGCAGTGGCACGATCTCCGCTCACTGCAACCTCCGCCTCCCTGGTACAGGTGCATTTTTAGAGGCAGGACCAGGTTCACAGGGAAGGAAATTACAAAAAGGCAGAATTCTACCCCAGCTGAGGCAGCAGCTTTCTAAATCTTAACGCTGTCCAATCTCAGAGTGAAATTATTTGGGAAACAGCTCTCAGTCCCTGCGGTTGTCTCAGCTGGTTATTTATGCCTCAGCTGGAGTTGGGGTACCCTCTAAATTCCCCTAGGGTTGATGGGCAAGTGGGGAGGCTCTATCACTGAAATGGACCCAATACCAGAAACAGATCCAGTGCTACCCAATCAGGTTTGCCTGATTCAAGGGCCTCAGTGGAAAATATCTCCCAAGGCCGGGCACTGAGACTTGAGTCTGTAATCCCAACACTTCGGGAGACCGAGGTGGGTGGATCACGTGAGATAGGGAGTTCGAGACCCCGCTGACCAACATGGTGAAACCCCTGTCTCTACTGAAAATACAAACTTAGCTAGGTGTGGTGGTGCACGCCTGTAATCCCAGCTACTCGGGAGGCTGAGGCCGGAGAATCGCTTGAACCCAGGAGGCGAGGTTGCAGTGAGCCAAGATCGCACCACTGCACCCCTGCCTGGACGACCAGAGCGAAACTCCATCTCAAAAACACAAAACAAAATAAAACCTGAGCTTGGCAGCCTGGAGCCGGTTCTGGTCTCCGTCAAACTAAAGGCATCAGTTTCCTCCACTCCTGCCCACCCATCGCCTGATCTCATTTTCTTCAGAAGCCAGGAATCCACATTTTTAAGTGAAATCACCCAATTTAGTGTTAGCAACTTATTTCAAAGTGTTTTAAATACTATAGACCAAAAGAGGTTGGCCGGGCGCGGTGGCTCAAGCCTGTAATCCCAGCACTTTGGGAGGCCGAGGCAGGTGGATCACGAGGTCAAGAGATCAAGACCAACGTGGTCAACATGGTGAAACCCCGTCTCTACTAAAAATCCAAAAAATTAGCTGGGCGTGGTGGTGCGTGCCTGTAATCCCAGCTACTTAGGAGGCTGAGGCAGGAGAATTGCCTGAACCCAGGAGGCAGAGGTTGCAGTGAGCCGAGATCGCGCCATTGCACTCCAGCCTGGGTAACAAGAGCGAAACTCCGTCTCAAAAAAAAAAAAAAAAAGGTATGGACTGTGACCGCAAGCCTGACTTGGTCTCCGACGGTCAGTTTCTGAACTAACCCCAGTTTTGGACGGAATGTCTGCTTCCAAGGTCTGCTTCCTAAATGTCCACTAGAGTTCGTGGGGTGGAGTGAGGGGGGATCCGCGGCTCCCCATACAAACAGAACCTCTCCCTCTCCTGGAGTCCGATCAAGGCTCATCCCAGGACTCTAATCTCTCCCTTTGTGCATTTTGAGTCAAGGAACAAAACTCAGGGCTAAGACCCTTCAACCACCTCCACAAGCACCAGGTCTCCAGAAATGCAGGAACTTCGCCCTTCGAGGCACTCACCGGCCATGGCTCCAGTGCAGTCCAGGGCGCTGATTGGCTGGGCTCGCTGTTGCTGGGGCGACCCTGGCCGGGGAGTATGTTCTCGGGGCTGAGCTGCAGGGGCTGCAACAGAGCAGGAGTCCAGAGTGCGCTGCGCATTCTCTCTTATATCTGCTGTCCCGCCCATTTGAGTTGGACAGCCAACCAGGGTGATACCCAATGCCTGGTCCTGGGGCGCTGGGCAGAGGCTGTCGAGGCTGCAGTTCCAGGAAGGGAGGGAGCCTGGGGGATGAAGGAGGGGCCCTTCCTCTCCCGTTCGCCCTAGCAACTGGTGGAAGTCACGAAAAGTCTCTGGGGGTGGGGGAAGGGGTTTTGTGGGGGTGTGTGACAGAGACCTCAAAATCTGGCTGGAGTGACTAGGCAGGCCCATCTGTGCACTGTGTCCTGAGGGGCAAGCGGACGCAAGGAGTAAGTTGTTCCCACGGAGTCCAGGGATCGGTTGGCCACGCCCTTAAGGCCTTGGCAAGAAACCGGGAAGCAAAAGCCGGCTGCCGGATTACTGTGGTTTCCTAGAGTTAGATTCAGCTGAGTCACTGTGACTGGATTTGGAAGGCTGACAGCACTGAGGAGACTTGCTCCATAGAAATGCGTTTGTTGCGGGGCGCGGTGGCTCACTGCTATAATCCCAGCACTTTGGGAGGCCAAGGGTGGGGGGGGATCACGAGGTCAAGAGATCGAGACCATCTTGGTCAACAAGGTGAAACCCCGTCTTTACTAAAAATACAAAAATTAGCTGGGCATGATGTCGCACGCCTGTAGTCCCAGCTACTCGGGAAACTGAGGCAGGAGAATTGCTTGAACCCAGGAGGCAGAGGTTGCGGTGAGCCAAGATCATGCCATTGTACTCCAGCCTAGGTAACGAGAGCGAAACTCCGTCTCAAAAAAAAAAAAAAAAAAAAGTTTGTTTCTTCCTTTTTTTTTTTTTTTTTTTTTTTTTTTTTTTTGAGACGGGGTTGTTCTCGAAATCCTGACCTCAAGTAATCCACCCGCCTTGGCCTCCCAAAGTGCTGGGATTACAGGCGTAACCCACTGGGCTCAGCCCGTTTCTTCCTTTTCAAGATTCAGATTCTGGCGGGGCGCGGTGGCTCAAGCCTGTAATCCTAGCACTTTGGGAGGCCGAGGTGGGTGGATCACCTGAGGTCAGGAGTTCAAGACCAGCCTGGCCATCATGGTGAAACCCCATCTTAAAAAATTCAGATTCTGCACTTCAGGGCACATACAATGTACTTCTGTTGGTGCCTGCCGCTGGACCACCCCTGCTCCTCAAAGCGGGTAATTGGGAAACTAATTGGTTTTGTTTCCCCCAGAACTAAAGCAAGGCTGGTGTGGAGATAGCAGTTACAGGGAAGCATTTAAAAAACAACCAAAATGGTCGGGTGCGGTGGCTCAAGCCTGTAATCCCAGCACTTTGGGAGGCTGAGGTGGGTGGATCACGAGGTCAAGAGATCGAGACCATCCTGGTCAACATGGTGAAACCCCGTCTCTACTGAAAATACAAAAAAAAATTAGCTGGGCATGGTGGCGCATGCCTGTAATCCCAGCTACTCAGGAGGCTGAGGCAGGAGAATTGCCTGAACCCGGGAGGCGGAGGTTGCAGTGAGCCGAGATCGCGCCATTGCACTCCAGCCTGGGTAAGGAGAGCGAAACTCCGTCTCAAGAAAAAAAAAAACAACCGAAACAGAACCAAGTGTACTGGCTTTACACCGAATCTCACACAAAGGTACAGAACGGAACAGAGCAAATACTTTAAATCTGGGCCAGAGGTGGTGGCTCACGCCTGTAATCCTAATACTCTGGGAGGGAATCAATTGAGGTCACGAGTTTCAGACCAGCCTGGCCAACGTGGTGAAACCTAGTCTCTGCTAAAATACAAAAATTAACCAGGTGTAGTGGTGCGCACCTGTAGTCCCAGCTACTTGGGAGGCTGAGGCAAGAGAATTGCTTGAACCTGGGAGGCAGAGGTTGCAGTGAGCCAAGATTGTGCCACTGCACTCCAGCCTGGGTAACAGAGTGAGACTGTCTCAAAAAAACAAAACAAAACAAAACAGAAAACAAACTATAAAGTAACAATTATAGTGAAGAGGGGAGACATACTGTCAAAATGCGAAGGAAAAATAACTAGAACTTTAAAGTGGTAATTAACCATCAGAAGAATAACAGATGGGGGTGATGAGGACCACACAAGGCCCTTCCATTGTCCCTTCGGTGCAAAATTTAAGAAGGTACCAGAATTTAAAAAAAAAAAAAAAAAAAAAAAAAAAAAAAAAAAAAAAAAAGCCTGTCACTGTGGCTCATACCTGTAATCTCAGCTCTTAGGGAGGCAGTGGTGGGAGCATAGCCTGAGCCCAGGAGTTCCCTGCCTGGGCAATATAGCAAGACCCTGTTCTCTTAGAAAAAAAACACCAGAAAACTGAGCAAGAAGATAAATAATACTTTAATGCCATAGTTTAAAAATCAAAATGAATGCAAAAGAGTCATTATGAGGCTGGGCGCAGTGGCTCACGCCTGTAATCCCAGCAGTTTGGGAGGCCGAGGTGGGTGGATCATGAGGTCAAGAGATAGAGGCCATCCTGGCCATGGTGAAACCCCGTCTCTACTAAAAATACAAAAATTAGACGGGAGTAGTGGCACACACCTGTGGTCCCAGCTACTCGGGAGGCTGAGGCTGAAGAATTGCTTGAACCCAGGAGGAGGAGGTTGCAGTGAGCCGAGATTGCACCACTGTACTCCAGCCTGGCAACAGAGTAAGACTCCATCTAGAAAAAAAAAAAAAAAAAAGATTTGGCTGGGTGCTGTGGCTCACACCTGTAATCCTAGCACTTTGGGAGGCCGAGGTGGGTGGATCACCTAAGATCAGGAGTTCAAGACCAGCCTGGCCATCATGGTGAAACTCCATCTTTTAAAAAAAAAAAAAAAAAGGGCCGGGCGCGGTGGCTCAAGCCTGTAATCCCAGCACTTTGGGAGGCCAAGGCAGGTGGATCACAAGGTCAAGAGATGGAGACCATCCTGGTCAACAGGGTGAAACCCCGTCTCTACTAAAAATACAAAAAGTTAGCTAGGCATGGTGGTGTGTGCCTGTAATCCCAGCTACTCAGGAGGCTGAGGCAGGAGAATTGCCTGAACCCAGGAGGCGGAGGTTGTGGTGAGCCAAGATCGCACCATTGCACTCCAGCCTGGGTAACAAGAGCGAAACTCCGTCTCAAAAAAAAAAAAAGAGTCCTAATGGACAAAATGCTCACTGCAGCCTCAAATTCCTGGGCTCAAGCAATCTTCCTGCCTCAGCCTCTGGAGTAGCTGGGACTACAGGTGTGCACTTCCACACCTGGCTAATTTTTCACTTTTTTTGTAGAGAGGTGGGTCTCACTGTTTTACCGGCTCTGGTCTGGAACTCGCAGCCTCAAGTGATCCTTAGCCTCCCAAAGTGCTGGGATTACAGGCATAAACCAACATTGTAACATTTTGTCTGTCATGACTACTTGGCATTCATTTTGATGCAACAAGAGAGGATGCTATTATTTACATGTATTTAAGAATTACTCTGGGAGTTTGAGGCAGAAGGATCACTTGAGCCCTGGAGTTTGAGATAAGCCTGAGCAACCAAGAGAACCCAGTTGACAAAATGGTATGAAAGAACCTTTTTAAAAAGTTCTAGGAAGCCCTGTCCAATAGAACTTTGCCTGTCTATGCCACCCAAATAAGGTAGCCACAAGCCTCAAGTAGCTATTGAGTACTGGAAATGCGGCCAGCAGCCAGGCGTGGTAGCTGTAGTCCCAGCTACTCAGGAAGCAGAGGCAAGAAGATTGCTCGAGCCCAGAAGTTCAAGACTGCAGTGGTGGTAAAGCAGGAACAGCCGCAAGAAACACTGAACTGGGAAGGAAGAGGTGATTTATTCGGCAGGGAACAAGGTGTCATAGCTGCCTAAATGCCAAGCTCATCTAACAAAGGAAGTCCCTGCCCTTATAAAGGCTTACTACTCTAGAAATTACACGTGAAAGAGTCTTGGTCCATGTAGTAGGCATGAGGTATGTGGCTTAGGTGGGGGTTTGACCTTGTTTAAAAACAATGCCTTCTGGAAAGATTCCTCCATACCGTGCCTGCGATCTAAAGGAGGGCTATGAAGGTGGCGCCCGGTCTGCCAGCCTTTACTTCTATTGAAGTGCAATGTGGAGGTTAAGGGGGAGGTGGTCTTAGATGCTTAGATCTCCTTCTTCACTACCCCCTTTGAGAATCTCACCTATAACATTAGTGAGAGTTCTCACTCTTATTCTTATTTTCATGATCCTCTGAAGATGACAATGCATATAATACTTCTGTGATGTGGTTCTCTGGTCTATTACAGCAGTGATGAATTTCTTAGTCATTTAGAGGAACAAAGGGAGAAAACGGGAGTAGCAAACACACACCTAGCATTGTTACCACACTTGTGATGAGGTTCTCTAATCCTCCCAAGGCTGGGGACCAATCTTTTTTTTTTTTTTTTTTTTGAGACAGAGTTTCACTCTCGTTACCCAGGCTGGAGTGCAACGGCGCGATCTCGGCTCACTGCAACCTCCGCCTCCTGGGTTCAGGCAATTCTCCTGCCTCAGCCTCCTGAGTAGCTGGGATTACAGGCACGCGCCACCATGCCCAGCTAATTTTTTGGATTTTTAGTAGAGACGGGGTTTTACCATGTTGACCAGGATGGTCTAGATCTCTCGACCTCGTGATCCACCCGCCTCGGCCTCCCAAAGTGCTGGGATTACAGGCTTGAGCCACCGCACCCGGCCGGGGACCAATCTTTAAACAAGGACTCAGGGTTGAATCTGTGCCATACCTTCACAGGCACGTGTGCTAGTTTGGTCATATCCTTAACTGCTTGACCTTGTCGTCTATGTGCAGACAGCAGTCGGTTAGTTTGAATTTTTCACAGACTCCTCCTTCAGCTGCTAGCAAATAATCTAGCCAGGTGCGGTGGCTCAAGCCTGTAATCCCAGCACTTTGGGAGGCCAAGGCGAGTGGATCACAAGGTCAAGAGATCGAGACCACCCTGGTCAACATGGTGAAACCCCGTCTCTACTAAAAATACAAAATATTAACTGGGCATGGTGGCCTGTAATCCCAGCTACTCAGGAGGCTGAGGCAGGAGAGAATTGCCTGAACTCAGAAGGCGGAGGTTGCGGTGAGCTGAGATCGCGCCATTGCACTCCAGCCTGGGTAACGAGAGTGAAACTCCGTTCAAAAAAAAAAAAAAAAAAAA